TTAAATTTTTGGTAATCATTTATTTTTTTCTGAAATTAAATAAATAGATTAATCATTATTAATTTTTTTTAGCAGTGGAGTTAGAATTAATRAAAAATTTTAAAAATCAAAGAAATTTCGTTAAAATTTAACCAAATTTAAAAAACAAGAGAAATAATATATTAATATCCAAGTTTTCGGAGTTTGAAGCAATTTTTTTAAGAAAACTTTCCACTTTTTCCACTTGGAATAACTTATATTTACCATTACTTAAGCTACATCTTAGATTTGTTGCTCAGCAACCAATACAACACATTTGATAGTTTTTAAGTCAGTGGCGTACTGCAAAATTTTGCTAAATAATCGAAATTTTTTTAATCGAAGCTCAAAACTTTACTTTTGGTTAAAAAATTATATTTTTTATTGAACAAAAAAGATTTTTCAAGAGTAACAACATGATGTTCAAATATCAAGTGAGTCATGACCCGCAACCTAGATTATTTACTAAATTTTCCACAGGACGGTAGTGTGACCGACATCAGACTTATCGACTGGCAATTGATGAAATCCGGGAGTCCGGTTTGCGACCTCTCCTATTGCCTCTATTCCGGGGCCTCGAAGCGGGTTTTTGACAATCTGGACCACTACCTCCGGATTTACCACGACAGTTTTTCCGGGTGTGTCAGGGAGTTGGGCAGCGATCCGGGACTTTACCCGTTTGAGGCCCTCAAGGCCGACTGGAGGAAATATGCCAAATTCGGGATGATCATGTCGTTTGGGATTTTGAGAATGAAACTCACGAATAAAGAGGACATTATTGACCTCACTGATGATTTTAATATGGACGAATTTGGGGAAGTTTTCTCCAAATTGAGGTTCAATGAGAAGGATTATTACTCGAGGATTAGGGGCCTCGTGAGGCACATGCACGAAATAGGGGCTCTTTAGGCGAAGTGGGGGTTGAGGGGGGTTTATAAATTAATTTTGTAAATATTTTCGCTATTGTGATTGTAATAAAAGTTAAATCTAGTCATAAGATCAAATAAATTGAACAAAAATGTATTTTATATATTTTCATAAAAAAATTCCTTTAGAAACTGAAAAATATAATAAAAATTATACCAACTATCAAGAGCCCTGTTGTTTTGAAGCCAAAACTAAAAAATAACAGCTTTTCCCCACAAAACTTTTCACAACAACAAGCCCAAAATCTACGCCACTGACTTTTCTTTGCATGCAATAGTTTTGTTGACCTTGTATCCTAGCAACCGGATATTCATCATTACTTAAGCTGCATCTTAGATTTGTTGCTAAGCAACCAATACAACACTTTTAATGGGTTTTAGGTCAGTGGCGTTCTGCAAAATTTTGCTAAATAATCGACATTTCTTTTATCGAAGCTCAAAACTTTACTTTTGGWTAAAAAAATAAAATAAAAATATTTTTAATTGATCAATGATCACATTTAACAAAAAAGATTTTTCAAGAGTTTCCATGTAAACCATACATTTTTTTAAATTAGTGAAAAAAAAATGGTTCAGAAACTGAAAAAATATAATAAAAAATTGTACCAACTACGTTACTGACTTTTCTTTTACATGGAGTAACCTTGTTGACTTGTATCCTAGCAACCAAAGAAAATTAAGCTCTTTTACTTAACTTACATCTTAAATGCTAAGCAACCAATACATACAACACTTTTAGTGGGCTTTAAGTCAGTGGCGTACCGCAAAATTTTGCAAAAAAAAACGTTTTTTTAATTGAAGCCTAAGACTTAATAATCTTAATTTAAAATAGATTGAACGAAAATGATTTTTCAATAGATTCAAAAACTGAAAAAAATTAATAATAAAGTTTTCCAACTACGCCACTGACTTTTCTAATCTGTTCAAACAAAAAAAAGCTTTTAGTAAAAATTCTAAAAATTTTCATATTAGATATTTCCGAAACCGTTTCTGGATCCATTTTTAAAACTTTTTTGTTTATTTTGGTCCATACAATTACCTCCTTAAATATTTTACAACCTTTTTTTAACACCCTGTATATTGAATCTACTGAAATTTTTAATTGATTTATTTTTTATTACAGTTGATAGTAATTTTCGTTTATAATAGATTTTTGCATACTAGTTTAGAAATTAAAAAAAAAACAACAAATTAACTATAGTTTGAATTTAATTTAGATTAAATTTATCTTAATTGCACGTATTAATTGGTCTTCAATCAGTGATAAAACTGTAAAATCAGAAAAATTAAAAAAAAGTAACCAAAATAAGCAAATTTAGCAAAACAAATCATTTTTTGAAATATTCAACATATCTCGAAATAAAATCGATTTGAGTTAAGAAATAACACTAAATTGAAAAGAATCAAAATGTAATGTTTAACGAGATGTCATTAAATACTTACGATTTCTATTGAAAAAGAGATCTAAGAAAATAATAAATAAAATTAAAATAACAAAATGACAAAAATTTTGAATTAAAAAAATGAGATTAAATAACTAAAAAACACAAAATTTTGCTCATAGAAGATTCAAAATCAATTAAAATAACACAGAAATCAACAAAATTTTCATTAACAAAAAAAACTAACCAAATCGAAGAAATTAACAAAAATAACACATT